AATGTTTTCTTTATAAGAGTTGTCATGGTATTTCTTTGTAGCAATAAAAACCTTAACTAAGATGGAAGTTGGTGCCAGGGACTGGAGTATTGCTGTGATAGGCCTGGCCATGATTTTTGTTTGGAGAAATATGGACTTTGGGACTGTGGATTAGAAAAACAGTTGAACCTTTTAAGCATTGTTTAATGGACTGTACTAGTAGGAGCATGGAAGACAGTCGTGCTGAGTGTGATTTGATAAACTGTGGGTTTATCAAATGCAAGAGTTTTCAGAGAATAATTTTAGTATGTTGCCTAGAAATCGTTCTTGTGATATTTTGGTGAAGAAAATGGTTGCCTTTTGCCCTCGTTCAAGTCTGCTTGAAGTTAAAGTGAAGAATTTTGGATTAATTCCATTGGCAGATAAAATCTCAAAATAGCCTCATAAAACCTCTGTCATGTGGTTTTGAGTGATAACTCTATTGAGGATTTATAAAGATTTATAATGCCTGCACGTCGCCGTGTCCCACCATGTTGATAACTGGCTGAACGTCTGAACTGCACGCTGCCACCCCAATTAAATGTTTCCTTTATAAGAGTTGCCACAGTCACGGTGGAACCCTAACTAAGACATGGATGTAGCAGGAATCCTGCCTGGGGAGAAGGCTGAGATGAAGTTCTGACTGGAATCACTGTCAGAACTGCAGCCCACATTGGGGTACCCCCAGGTTCTGCTTGTTCCTGCTCAGCCTGGCCATCGTACTCCACTGCTTCCCTCAGAGTGTAGAGCTTGGCTGAGAACCTGCGCCTACAGCTTCAGGAACCAATATGGGAACTCCCAGAGGACCCAGGCTTTGGACAAAGTGCAGGAGTCCCTGCCTGTGGTGTATGGCTGGTTGGTGGAGGTGACCAGAGGGCTGTCATCTCCACCCTTTCTACACACACATCTGCTGACGCCACTGGAGGGCACGAACACCTCTGCCCTCAGGGCTTCCCTCTGGCTCCAGCTTACAGGGTCCCCTGTTCTCTCTGGTGCTCTCACTGCTTCATGGGAGATGAGATGACTGACTGGCCAGGGAGAGCAGTAGGCAGGTGGGGACTGAACACGTGACTGGGACACAAACTTCACATTTCTTTCCTGGAGGGAAGGCTGCAGAGAGGGTGGTGTCAGGGCTGGCCTGGCTCCAGGGCCTCTTGCTTAGCCCCAGGACTAGCCACAGGAATGCCTGGAGTATGTGAGGCGGAGTCTGGCTAGGTTCCGCTGATCATGGTCAGTGTGGTCAGACGCAGCTCCACCTACGGGTCTATGAAGACTGCGCAGATGCCCTGTGCATCACACCTGCTCTCTGATGGCCTGTTTGTGTGCCAGCCTCCCATCTCTACATACTTAGATAAGTTCTCCATCAAGGAGTTGTAGGCAGGGTCCTTGTCTACATTCATTATGACCGGCTTCTAGGGCCTACAACAATGCCTGGCACAGAGCCGGTGTCCAGTAACACCCCCCCCCCCCCTTAGAAGGAAGTGGGAAGGGAGGGAAGGAGGGAGAGAACAAGGAAAAGGAGGGAGGAAAACAGGAGAAAATGACACTTAAAAGTAGGTTCCCCAATGCTGCCACACTGAAGGACAGGGAGATAGACAAACTCTCTGGCAGGCAGACAGACAGGGAGAAGGGCCGTGGTTAGTTGGTGAAGGTGATCTTCCCAAGATGGCCATCATCTTCCTCCACGTCCTGACCAGAGACAAAAGCTTGTCAGCTTCAAACAAAGGCTTGTGGGGCTCCTGCATGGGGGACCACCTGCTGTCGGACTGGTTCGACAAGTTCAGGGCCAAACGAGGACGTGTTTACACAACAGTCGTGAGCCAATCAGCAACTCTGTTATCTTCTAACTGACCAATCTTAACTCAGGGGAGGAAGACTCTTCAGCCTGAGAAAAGACTGGGTCTTCTGGCTTCCGGAGTACCACTTCAGCTTGCTGGTCTTTTTCTCTGAGTGTTTGCTGTGTGCATGTGTCCTCACTCTTAATAAGTTGCTCTCCTTCAGCTGTGGTCTGTCTGCTCCTGTTTGCGGCATTGGAGAGTTTTGCTGCCTTTGACTTCTTTAACTGGCAGAGAACATGAACCTGACCCAGACCCCCCCAGATGGTAACACCACCACTTCCATCACAGGGCTGGTTCCTTAGCCAGCCCGTGTCTTGTCCCCTCAGGGTCCAGTCAGCCTGAATGTCACCCCTCACTGCTTCTCTGCATCTGGGTTCAGTACCTACAGTTCTGCTGTTTGACTGTAGATGCCAGCTTTGGGATCAACCAGGGATGGGGTGACAGCCCAGTCTTTTCTGTCCCTTGGCCCCTTAGTGTTCCTGGGGTCCCAGGTAAACTCACTGTCTTCATTGGTGGCGCTGGAAGCACTGTGGCTAGTGTCCTTCCTGGCTGCCACTCTTGTCCCCATGACAGCTGTTCCAATGTATGCTCTGATCCTTCCTGGGTCTCTGCTCCCTTGGTCACCGCCAGTGCCCAGCTTTTCCCCCAGAGTGAATCACGATTCTCCTTATAACTTTATCACAGTAGCCATTGCATACCATACACAAGGATGCTGCCGCCCGAGCCTGGGGATGGTGCAGATGGGGGCCTAGGGATGTTGCTGTGTGGGCTGAGAACTGGCCAGGGACACAGCAGGCCAGGGGCCAGCTTTCAGAGCTGATATGAATTTGGCTCAGGCGTGTGGATTCCTGCATCCCTCTTCCTAGTCCTCTGGACTCTAGGAACTCCCAGAAACCCTTGGGAGCTAAGCTTACACTGGGCTTCCATGGCAAGATGAACAAAAATTTTTAAAACTTACCTTTAAGTAAAGGTAAGTACCTTACCTTTAAGTAAAAACAGGAGACCAGGCTACATTTGAGGAATGATTAGGATATATTCATGCTGAATTTTTAAAATAGAAATTTAACTGGGAATCCTGACTTTCCCCTCAGCTTTCTGAGCCCTGTAACCCTGGGGAGAAAGAATCCATCAGGTAGAGGGTGAGACTTCTGTCTGGCAGTCTGGATCCGTCATGCTCAGTGCTCTTTCTGCTCCTTAAAGCTCTGGCTCTGAGCCCCCAAGTCATCCCCAGCATACCGAGTCTGAGATAGTCACACCTCCAACCCTTCCTATAGTGCCATGCTGGTGGTCTGAAGCAGTGAGCTTGGAGACGTGCAGGAATGAGTTCAGGGATGACCCAGGAAAGACTCTTCTCAGGAGAAATCAACACTGCATGTGAGAAACCACAAGGCCAGCAGAGCGGGGACGCGAGCGCCAAGGGAGGATTTCTGTAGACAAACATCTTCAGCGTCCAAGCCTGGACCACAGGGGATGGTGGCCCAAGAAAGGGAAGTGGGGGGAATGTCCTTCTGCCCCTCGTCGTAGCTGCAGATGCACATGGCTCAGGCTTTGGAGGTGGCGATTCCTGCACCAGGAGAGGGGCAAAGGCGTTTTGGAGGTTCCCTGTTCTGAGCCGGGGACTCCGGCAGCTGGACCAGGCTGGACGTCAGTGTTTGACAGCTCTGTGATGTTCCCCCCATTCTTTAAAGTGGGGTAAAGGAACCTTTACAGCCGAGGCCCCAGAAGCTCTGATCTGGGGCACAGGTCTCAGCCTCTCTGGAGTACACACCTCAGCAGGCCCCTGAGAACACTGTGTGTGGATGTGTCCCCCACAGGCCCCCTTCTAGGGAAAAGCACTACAGCCTGCTATAGGCCCCATGTGGGGAGTAGGGGGGAGGTGACAAAGACCCGTAGGGTTCCATGAATCCCCAGCAGGACTCTCCCTGGCTTTGGAAGGCACTGGAAGCCCTGCACCGTAGCTAGGGAACTCAACACTTAAACAAGATTCCATTGCCAAATCTGTCCCTCCTTTTCCTCCCAGAAGCCCAAATATACCCACCAAACAATGAGAAATGGCTCTGTTCCATCTTTAGTTTATAAGCATGCTGCTTGCCTGTTAGCACACCAAGGAAGCTGCTGCTTACCTTAAAATGTCCATTCACTTCCGCCAGATGAAAAGCTACCTTAACAGAATTCCGGTTCTTGGCTTTGTCTCAACCATACACTAGACAGAACCCTTTCTAAGGACCCCCTCCTCCCGCCCCAATTCTGGCTTCTGCATGTGGGAAGCTTCTCCGAGGAGCCTTTGTTGGGGGAGGGCAGGTGGGAGGGGCCAGTCCCACAAAGATGTTTTGATGCACAGGGGGAAATACCCCATTTCTGTCTCATTCTTGGACTCTTGGTGAGTCTGGCCAGGCATCCAACAGGAAAGAACCTTTTGTTCCCAGCTTGTAGGAAGTTTGAGCTGGGCTCTTATCTACCCATAGCACTTCCTGGATAGGGGGCCAGGATCCGCTGCCCAAGCTCCCAGCCTCGGCCTTGGCAACCTCCTGTCTTAAGTACAGACCTTGGCAATAGGCCTAAGCCTTAAATGAGAAGTTGGACGAACGATATCTAGCCTTAGATTGGTGTCTCTCCCCTCCTCCTCCCCTCCCTCCGTGTGTGAGTGTGTGTGTCCTGGAGTGGAAAAAAGAGGGAGGTAAACTATCAACAACAGCGTCCGTGTGGCGGGTGTGCAGAGGCGGGAGGACAGGGTTATTCCCAGCCTTCCAGTAAAGTGTAAAGTGCCATCTCCGCCCACGGGGGCTGGGAGAGGTGACCCTAGGGTTACCGGAGCTGAGCTTGGACCCAGGCGGGGCCTGACACCTAGCGGTTTCCCGGGTTCCGAAGTGGAGAGAGCAGAGAGTGAGAGGCTAGAGATCGGGAACCGAGGCGCCACATCCGCCCCGCCAACCATCGCCTGCCCACGCTGGTCCCGACGCTGCTGGATCGGTGTGGCCGTCGTGCACCTCCGAGAGCCCGCGCCTGGCGGTACTTCCGGCGCAGGTGACCGTCGCCTCCTCGTGCGCGCTACCGCCGCCGGGCCGTCGCGCTGTCACCATGGCGACGCCGTCGCGCCGTGGCCCGCGGAACCGGCAGAGCGGCCGGGGCGCGGCGCGAGGACGCGCACAGGCCTGGCGGCGGCGGGACCAGGTAAGCAGCTGGGTGCCAGGGAGCCGAGTTCCACGCGGAGGGGTGGCGGGGACTGGGGCCAGGCGACGCCGGGCTTCGAGACGCTCTCCCGTGCGCACCTGCCAGCGCCCACCGGGGCCCCGCCCCGCCTGTCCCCTGCAGTGGCCCCGCGAGGCGGCGGCCTGACGCCTGAGTTCCTGCTGCTGGGAACCGGGAGAGGCAGCCTGGGGACCTCGGGCCGCGTCTCTGCTGGAGTTAGAATGGGGACCTGAGTTCAAGTCTAGGGGTCTGTGACTATATTCTAAAATAAAGTGGGTGGGAGTGGACCCATCTCGTTTGGCAGGTCCGTCCTTAGCTGAACCCCCCACTGTCTAGGCGTTCCTAGACTGGGAGAAAGCCTGGCTTCATGCTTTGGCCTTGGCCACCTCCCCTTTCCGGTCACTTCTCTTACCCCTACCCCTTTTCTCGCGAGGCATCACAAGTCACAGGAGGGTCCTTGTGGACTCTGGCTTCCCTTTTAGTTGCCATTCTGTCTTGGCAATCTGAGAGCTTTCTAAAATTCTTTAAGAATAGCCGGGCGGTGGTGGCGCACGCCTTTAATCCCAGCACTCGGGAGGCAGAGGCAGGCGGATCTCTGTGAGTTCGAGACCAGCCTGGTCTACAAGAGCTAGTTCCAGGACAGGCTCCAAAACCACAGAGAAACCCTGTCTCAAAAAACCAAAAAAAAAAAAAAAAAAGAAAAGTTCCATCTCTTGGATTCTGTTCTGTTCTTTTCATAGCAAAACAAAGCGAAGCAAAGCATGGCCACCTCCCTTAAATACCGGGATTGCTCCCCGCACTTGGGTCTGGGTGGAAAATCCTGGTCTGCTCAAGCCCCACCCCTTGTGGGAAGGAGGAGCTCCTGGAACCAGAAGTAGAATCACCCACAGATGCCCTGCCCTGCCCTGCCACTGTCTCTGGGTCTCTGGGTAGGCAGAGTGCAGGCTTCTTGAACTCACAGAGATCTGTGCGTTGGGATTAAAGGCCACGATGCCGAGCTCCCCTCTCTATTTAAGAATTAACTCATAATTAATTAGAATAAAAGTGGGAATATAAAATTTCAGAGATTAAAACTACCATCTGGGTCATGTGTGGCAACAAGGGGCAGTGACCCTAGGGTTCAGGAGGCCGAGGCAGGCAGATTGCAAGTTTAAAGCCAGCCTGGGCTACAGATGCTGGTTCAATGCCACTCCCCAACAACAAAAATCAAATGCAGACTGACAGTCTTCCATACTCTAGAAGTTTCTATAGAATAAATGGGGCATGGGTTGGTGGTGGGCAGGAGGAACACGTGGCCTGATGTGGGGGTTGTGCTGTTTATGACCTTCAGGTGATATCATTTTTGTTCAACTGCTGTTTGGCTGAGCGCTCACCAGGTGGCAGGCACTGTACCAGGCTTTTGGGCATATTTTTTCCCATTTAACTTTTCTGCAGTCCAGTAATGTAGGCCTTAGAGTTGAGGAGGCCAGCTGGGAGAAGGGACACAGTAGTAACCAGTGGAACACACTCTGAATTGACCTGTTTGTGACCCAGGCTGCATTGCAACTCTGAGAGATGTGCTGGGTGCTTTGGCGTTCACGGGGCCTTCCTCCATAAAAATAAATAAGGACATTTTCAAATTTCCTACAAAGACAACATGCATATTGGATTAAAAGTTAAATCATTTCAACCTTTAAAGTGATCTTTCCCCTTTGTTTTTTAACTGTTGTGGGTTCTGGCACAGACTTGGGCCCACTTTCTGCCTGGGCCTTGGTGCCCCGCGCAAAAGCTCCGCTTCTCTTCACCTTCTCATCACATTTAGGGTCTCACCCACCAAGGAAAGCTCTAGTCCCTGCCCCCACTGTAGTCTTTTCTAACTCAATTAAAGCCTGCGGCTGATAGGGAGGGCTGTGGCCAAGCCAGGTTTCTCAGGGTCCAGCTTTCCTCAGCTCCACCGCTGCCTCCTGGGCTGTACAGCATGAGCGTTGTCTGGTACCAGTAATGAGGTTAGGCATGGTTGGCTTTTAATAAAACACAGTGGGCCTGGAGAGGGAGCGTGATGTTCAGCACAGGCTAAGCCCTGCGGATAGCTGTGTCCCTGTGTGATTGCATTAAGTGGGAGTCAGTCTGCAGGTGGTGCGTAGAGATTAGGGGTGTATTTACTTGACTGTCACAGTCCGGAGATCTGTCACCCCACCCTGAACTCTAAGAAAGGAAGGGGAGTAGCCATGTAAGGGGCCACATGAGCTCCCATTCCTTGCAAGACTCTGGTGTGAATCAAGTGTGATGTTGGAGTCAGGAGGCTGAGGCAGGGGGATGTCGAGTTAGAAGCCAGTCTAGGTTACACTGTGAAACCCTGTCTTGAAAGAAATAAAAAGAATGGAGAAGGAGAGAAAGGGAGGGAGAACACAGGTCTGTGGAAGCTGAGGAAACCTAGGGTCGAGAGTGGCCATTTCCAGGCTGTGAAGCCATAGCCTGTGTTCTGCTAGGGGACACAGGCAAGGACAGGTTATAGGGAGCAGCATCCACATTAGGAGGGAAGGGTAGGGTGTTCTCACTGTTGGGGTGACCAGGGACCATGATGCACATGTGCATGCTCACAGGGGGACAACTCAAACCCCTTTAAAGCTTGCAGATGCAGGCATGCTGCGGGCGGAGGCATTCTGTCCAGAGCCTTGGGGACATCTGCCCCAGGCACAGAGAGCTTGTAGCTGTCCTGAACTGAGCTGCAGCAGGGAGCATTTTACTAAAGGATTCCATGAGGCACAGGGCAACTCAACATTTTTTTTGTTTTTGAAACAGGGTCTCCCTGTGTAGCCCAAGCTGGTCTGGAATATGGAATCCTCCTGCCGTAACCCAAGTGCTGGGATTGTAGCTGGTTGGTCCTGCTTTATTTTTTCTGTAGCTCCGGATTTTGTGAGTATAGCTAGCACTGCCTGAATGAGTGCCCTGCAGGCAAGCCATGCCTGCCACGGGGAGTGGTCCTGCTAGGGGGCGACAGCCCCTGTTGTGCCTCTATCACCACTTTGTAGCCTCAGCTTCGCACCCAAAGCACCCCATTTTCTTTCGGAGGCCAGGCTGCTTCACTTTCTCCTCAGGTTGGCTTTCTTGCTCCCAGGACTGCTTGGCTGGGTGCCCTACCTGAGAGTAAATTGAAATTGAGCCTCCGCTGCTCAGGCACTCCTCTGACACCCCTTTCTCCCGCTTGTACCCATTTTCTCCTGGAGAGCTGTAGGCAGCACCTGTTCTTGTGTTGTGGCAGTACTGAGGGTGAGCAGGGACCTGGGGAGTCCCTTATTCAGCTGGGACCACCAGAGCCTTGACTGGCCTAAGTGTTTGGAAAGTGCGACAGCATCACCCTAGCTACTGGGCCCTGGGAAGTTCAGAACCACTGTGCTGGTGGAGACCTTGACCCCCGGGGAGGAGTCGCAGAAGACTGTGCCCATTGGCAAAGGGTGGTGCCTTTTCCCTAGCCTGGTGGGAAGGGCCATGCAGGGTTACCTCCAGTTTTCAATCCCCATTCCCCGTCCCGCTCCCATCCCATTTTTGGCAGTGCTGGGGGTTGGGGAGTAAATCCAGGACCTTAAGTAGGCCCAGCAAGTCTCTGTCACTGAGCTACATCCCTAGCCCTCTATGGCCCTACTTAGAACACCTGCCACCATTAACACTCGCCCGGAAGCCCCTGCTGTGGAGTTCCAGCATCTAATGGTGGCCACAAGCAGCAGCCGCAGGTAGAGCAGCTAATTTGCTGATGGTTATTTTGAGCACAACTTTGTTGCCTTTGAGTCCTCATTTCCCATCTGTGACACCGGGGTAACAAACACTCTTGTTTCACTCACAGTACTGTGGAGGGTTAAACAGAGAGGTGCAGAGCGTGGGGTGCTCTGCTGTCGGGTCCCTGCACTCCTGAGGCAGACGGGTTCCTCCTCACCCTGGGTGGTGTGTGTAGACAGCATGCGGGCACTCCCGTCCATCACAGGGAATTCAGGACTGAATTTCCAGTGAGAGATGGTAAAGCCATCCTCTCCCTCACTACCATATGGTCTCTGCCTATGAGGAGACTGACTGGGACAGAAAAAGCAGGCTATGGCAGACCAAGTGGCTGACCCGTGGCCCAGATCTGCCCTTTGTCTTGTCTGAAGCCTGACAAACCGTGGCAGGTCACCTGTTCCTGCTTTCTGCCCTCACTGGGAGCTAATCAGATTTTGCTGTGCTTCAGGCTCTGGGGAGATGAATCTAATAACGGGGGGAGGGACTTGGAGAGGAGGCAGGACAAAGGACAGCAGTCTCTGCTGGGTACCTGAGAAGTCTTGGAGAAGGGTGGAGTGACCTTATCTTCAAGGAGCAGACAGGACACTTCAGTAGAGAGCATCGCGGGATTAATCTAGAACAGAACCCAAGAGGGTAAGGAAGTTTTGGGGAGCCTTGAGGACTTAGGAGGGGCTTGAGCTGCACTTGGGGACAAAGTAGTGAGCAAGATGCTGTTGCCCTGGGGTGAATCTGCAGGGTGGTGTAGGCAGCACGGAGCAGGAAGCTGGTACCAACCGCAGGCCAGTGAGCTGAAGCCTCCACGTGGACGTAGTGGGAACATAGTGGGGCTGCGGAAGGACAAATTAGGATCACGTGGCAGCGGGCATTTCTCTGGCTGGCAAGGGTGATATGACTTAGAAAGCAAGGCATGTCCTGGTGTGTCAGGCAGATTGAAAAGAGAGAGGCTTGTGTCCTGATCTGGCAGGGCAACGAAGATGGCTGAGAGGAACGAGAGGACAGAGATCTGGGAGCCCTTGGGCTGTCTGGGATCTTGAGAGGGCCTGGTTGTGATGGGAGAACACTGATCTTGGACACGGCTGACGTGGCAGTGCAGTGGGAATCTGAGGGAAGACCGAATAGGCAGGAGACTTGGCAGTCACGTGAGGGGACAGATAGGAATAGCAGCAAGAGGTCCAGAAATAGGGGTTCACTCCTGGCTAGAGGTTCAGAAAGAGTTCCCACTTAGCAGGGATGACTTGAAAGAACACGTCAAGAATTTGAGAACGAGGTCAGCCTGCTTCACACAGATCTCCAGGTGGTGCCTATCCCATGAAGGCTGAGAGGCCCCCTTCATGCCATTCAGTTCAGGACCGCAGAGCCAGCCAGCAGGAGTTAGGAGCTCAGAGACAGAGACAAGTACAATGTGATGATGTGAAGTTGTTGAACCAATGAGGCAGAAGTATGCTTATCCACATGAGGAGATGTGTGTGCTATGCCAGTACATGAAGATGGGATGACGATGTCCTGGGCCTGTTTCCATGGGAAATGTATATGAATTTCTGACCAGTGCATGCGGGGACGCAGGTGACTTGCTTTTGTCTGTTTTTTTCAAATGCAGGAGCTGCTGTCAGAGAACTGGGAGGTGGAGCTGGAGCTGACCAACCCGAGGAGCTGGCTGACCCAGGCCCCAGCACAACAGGGGTACTAACTAGCGCTGGCTAGTTAGTGTTGGGAAAGCCGCAGCTACAGCTTCTGTTCGCCACTGCCTCGCACCTTCTGGTACTCACTGGTTGGCTGGGAGGCAAGGCCCCTCTGTCTAGGGAAGGGACAGTAAGCTGGAGTGCTGATGTCCCCGCAGAGCTGGCATTGGTGGTTGCCTTGTCTAGCCAGAGTGGGACCTTTGAGTCCCACTGCCAGCCCTGAGGCAAGAGGAACAGAGGCCAGACCAGATTGCTCCCCTCCACCTCTTTCCTAATGGGAACAGGGGGACAGGAGAACATGCAGGGGGAGGGTTGAGAGCTGGCCTGAGCTGCATGGGGAGGCTTGCATGCACCAGAGCCTTCCACGGGTCTCCTGGTACAGGCGGTGTCTCCTCATATGGCAACATGCCTGCTCTGTCTTCCTGCATAGACCATCGGCAGTTCAGCAGGTGCATATGAAGCCACACTGCTGGGGCCCCTAGTTCTGGAAACCTCACCGGAGGGGGGAACAGCATCCCCTCCCACCCTTGGTGTGGAAAGGAGCTGGAAGGAATGGAGTTGGGGCTCCTGGAGTGGCCTGTGGTCTGGCACAGCAGGGCAGAATACAGCTACACAGAACAAGGGGATTGACTCTCTGGGTGCCCATGGCTCTCCACTAGGATTAGGGCTTGAGGCTTACAAATGGGTGAAGGAACAAGGCTTCTACTCCCACCCAGGAAGGACTTTTCCATCTATGTGGAGAAGGGAGTGGTAAGCTCCACACCTTCAGGGTATATGCTTGTGTTTCCGATGTATCTGCCAACCCCATCCCAGAACACCCAGGGCCTCAGGAAACAGGACTTATAACCCAGGGATGGGGCCCATGCTGTCATCCGAACTCGGGACGTTTCTAAACTTGTGCCCTCCCGTATACACGGGTCAGTTTGCCTCTGTGGGTAGGTCTGGCCTCCCAGTGAAAGCTAGGGCGCACAGCTTAGACTCTGGCATGGAGGAAGTGGCAGCTGTCACGAGGCAGAGTGTGCTTTCTGAAGGCTGTGAGTGGCTCCCTAGAGCTCTGTGTCTCCTGTAGCTGGGGTCAGCATGGAGCCCGGTGGTGCCTCCGTCCCTGCTGCCTTGCCGTACTACGTGGCCTTCTCCCAGCTGCTGGGCCTTACCGTGGTGGCTGTGACTGGCGCATGGCTGGGCCTGTACCGAGGTGGCATTGCCTGGGACAGCTCGCTGCAGTTTAATGTGCACCCACTCTGCATGGTCATAGGCATGATCTTCCTGCAAGGAGATGGTGAGTCCTGGGGCTAGTCCAGGGAACCTGGGGCTGGAGGGTGATAGCTGCCTTTAGCAGGTGGCATCTCAGGGGCCATGGCTGCTTCTACAGTGGAGCCAGCCTGAGTGGTGACGACACTATCTTCAGGGGCAGCTGGACATTGGGAAGGAGACACATGTACATGTGTTATTGCTGAATGGATACATGGCTGAGCTAGCATGCTTGTCCCTGGGATAAGTGCGAGCAGGTGCTTGGTCTGAGTGCTGCCTTCAGGGAGCTGTGTGGGGGTGGGGTGGGGGTCCCGACAGCCACCTCCCACCCCCCAGCAGCAGTGGAGATTGGGCAGGATCACATTAAGCCTTGGAAGCTGGGAGTCTGCCTGCTAAGCGCAGTGATTCCCCACCTAGGAAGGCTCCAGATGGCCAGCACCGCAGTCTGACTGCAGGACGAATCCTGAGCTCCCGAATCAATGAGTTCTAGGGCACCTGGCAAGGCCACGGGGCACTCAGGCCCAGCAGCTGCTCTGAGTGGGTGGAAGTGTGACACAGCCCCTCTCCTGGTCCTTGAGTGTGCATGGGGTAGACAGGGCACCCTGGACCAAAGCCAGGATGGGTGCAAGGTCCCTGTGCAATCCTGTTCCCTCCTCCAGTTTCTGTAATTGTCAAACCTTAAGAAGCTCCCTCCTCCAGTTTCTGTAATTGTCAAACCTTAAGAAGCTCCTGGCACAGACCTTTGTCTAGCCAGCCAGGCTTGCCAGTGTGTCCAGCACAGGCCGGTACACTTAAAGCTTTATCCACTTCCACAAGCTCTCCTGGTGTACCGTGTCTTCAGAAAAGAAGCCAAACGCACGACCAAGATCCTGCACGGGCTGCTTCATGTCGTTGCTCTCATCATCGCCCTGCTGGGTGAGTTCTCGGATGCAGCCTTTCCTTCCCCACCTGCTGCTTTGGGCTCGGCAGCTGGGCAGACAGTCCCTGCTCCAGGCTGCTTGGCCTTGCCCCACTCTCCTCCGGCATCCCAGGCAGGGATGGGATGCTGGCCATCATCGGCCTGGACCAAAGCCCAGAAGTTCTGGCTAGCAGTTTCCCCCGGGTCTCCCCTCCTCTCCCTTTTCCATGTCCAGCCCTGTCCTCATATGGCCCCTGCCTCCGCTCCAGGCTTGGTGGCCGTGTTCGACTATCACAGGAAGAAGAGCTATCCAGACCTATACAGCTTGCACAGCTGGTGTGGGATCTTAGTCTTTGTTCTTTATTGTGTGCAGGTGAGTCTAACCTCAGGGAGGGGGAGGGTAGGGTAGTGGGGGCTCAGGTGTGCCATAGAGGGGCCCATTTTTCAGGGTTCATGTCCAGAGGAGAGAGAGAAGGTCAGTTTAGTTGGATGCTATTTTCAGAGGCTGAATTGGGTATAAGCTTAGGATTTCAGAGGCCAGGGTGCCCCAGGCCTTTTGTCCTTCCCACTGACGCTGTGTAAGCGTTGAATCACATGCCTTAGCTTCTCGAATCCATGGGGTGATGAACCTGCTGCTGGAGGCCCAAGGCCTCAAGGCAAACGGCTTCAAGTCTTGGGGACCAGGCCACCTTTCCTATAAATGTTCTGCTCCACTGCACTTGAGGGGATGAAGGGGTCCTTTGGCGGCCTCCTATTAGGTAGGTCACAGCCAGCTCATGGCTCAGCAGAGTCCTTTCTCCTTTTAGTGGCTTGTGGGTTTCAGCTTCTTCCTGTTCCCTGGAGCTTCGTTCTCTCTGCGGAGCCGGTACCCGCCCACAGCACATATTTTATGGTGCCACCATCTTCCTTCTTTCTGTGGGCACAGCCCTCCTGGGCCTGAAGGAGGCGCTGCTGTTCAAACTTGGGTAAGTGTCCTGAAGAGGCAGGGCCTCCAGTGTCCCCTGCTTTACTGAAGGCCTCTTTCTGAGCTGGCTTTTCTCACGGGGAGGGTGGAAGGGTTGGTGTCTTTAAGGCCTGGGCTGCACTTGTCCTAACTGGAACTCTTGGTGGCTTCTCCCTTCACCCTGCCCTACAGGACCAAGTACAGCAAGTTCGAACCCGAGGGGCTCCTGGCCAACGTGCTGGGCCTGCTGCTGGTCTGTTTTGGGGTGGTTGTGCTCTACATCTTGGCTCAAGCTGACTGGAAGCGGCCTTCCCAGGCTGAAGAGCAAGCCCTCTCCATGGACTTCAAGACGCTGACAGAGGGAGACAGCCCCAGTCCCCAGTGACGGCCTTGGGTGATCCTCCCGGTTCTGTGGGTTCTCGGATATCTTTCTGCCCCTCCCTGCAGAGCCTGAAACTTTAGGTCCAGGAGTGCCTGCTGGGCAGTGGTGTTAGTTTAGTGGGATTTCAGGTTTTGGCTTTGTCCTCTGCTTTTCCTTCCTGCTTGCAGCTTCTGATGCATCCTGTGAGCCACGTGTGGGCCCCGCCTGTACCTCCTGCTGCCCATTCACTTGCAGAAAGCTTGGTGGGGCGCTGGGGTCAAGCCTAGTCCTGATCGTTAGGGGAGCTAGCTCCACCCTCCAGGCAGCTGATGGCTGGCCCCCCCCCCCCCCCCCCCCCCAGGGACTGGTGTGGAAAAGCCAAGCCTGCTGCTTGTGCATTCAACCCAGGAGTCCTAGCGGCTCGGGAAGCATGTGTCCTTGGCAGTAGAGCAAGTGATACGATGTGTAAAGTATGTTGGTGTTCAGACTGAGGTTCCCCCAAAGGGTTGAGTCTGGCCCCTGAAAGAGCCATGTGGCTTGGCCAAAGGTCCACACTGTCGCAGACCTTTCTGGTCTTTAACCCCTGAGCCTTAAGTAGGCTTTTCAGGGAAGGGACTAGGTGCTCAGAATGCAAGTATGTACCTGCCCTGGTGGATGAGGGCAGGCTGCTGGTGGCGAGGGGCCTCCTGGCCTCCTGCTGTCCACCTGGGCAGTTCCTCCCTCCAACAGGGGATGAGCCCCGGTTTCCTTCTGCAGGCCAGCCTGGACAGGCTCTGGGAGGGCAGGTCGCATACCTTCTGCTGTTTGTCTTGCTCTCCAGGGGGGTTCTGGGTTGCCCGACTTGACTGAAGCAGCCCTGGAGGATTATTGTCCTCCCACACTTGGGTCCATCTTCCCTGGACAATAGGACTGAAGTGGACAGAGGGATGGGCTTGGTCTCCTGTGGTGTCTGCACACAGCTTCAACCCCTGCTGCCTGTTGTGTTGTTAGCTGAGTCACTGCTTGGCTTGAGTCTAGAAACAATGTGATTAGAGCATTGGTCTCGTGCTTCTTGGGCTTGGCAACCGCTCTCTCCTCTCCTGGGCCTTGATAGACATGGATAACTTAACAAGGAGATTAGCAGTTTCTGAACCTGATAATTCCTTTAGGTCAAGAGGCCGGCCTTCTGTCAGATTTCTTGTGTAACTGTGCTGTGGGTCTCTTTCTCCAGCAGTGGTGGAGCCCCCTCTCCCGGCCTCCCCCCCCCCCCCGGGCTGCCCATCACCCTGGCCCCTCCAGCTCTCCATTTGCAGGGATGGTGGGTTTGCCTCCCGTTTCAATTGTGTATGCTGCAAGGATAGGGATCTTATCGATTCTTTCATCAGCTGGCACACTGATACAGTCAAATGTTTACATGTGGGAGACTTGTCTTTAGACAAACCCCGAGTATCATTGTGAATCTCCCGTGCCAGACTATACAGAAAACCAGAACTCATCGAGAGCCTGTAAACTAGTCTTTCTGCCAAAGTGTATGATACATGACTTAGGACCAAAGAAGGCCCCCAAGCAGATGTGTGTGGTTTCTTGTGTTTGCCTGTGGCTGTCTCCTGTGACGTACAGTGTGTTGTTGGTGCAGCGGATGAATCAATACATTCTACAGCCGACTACTCGCCTTCTGTTTTCATTTGTGGAGGCAAGAAAAGGACCCAAAGCTTTATGCCGTCAGATTCCGAAGTTAGTTCTACTAGGGATGAGAGAAACTGTCCCCAGGGTGGGTACCGCAGATAAAGTGACTGGCAGATTCTCAGCACAGGACGCACAGGTCTCTGTGGTGGTTGGGTTTGGCCCCCGTGGAGGGGATCCTGGAGGGCTCTAGGAGGCCCAAACATGGCAAACATGGCGCCCACAGTTCTTCTCTTACCCTTGTCTGCCATTCCTCTGCCTTGCTAAACTGCAGACTACATTCCGAAAGCTAGTTGCGTCCAGTCACTTATTTGGCCACCTCCTCCTCCTGAGGCTGACCATTAAGATCCAGCTATCAAACTATTGCAGTACAGCAATCAAAAGCCCCCTTTTGGTTACCCCAACTGACATAATCAAAACAAACCAACTCACCCCAAAATGGGGTTTCCCCTTGTACCTTTTATAAACCGCCATTTGCCTATGGGCCACAGCTGTCGCCTCTCTATCCAGAGGCAGGTCCTTTGTCCCTCCAGGGCAAATACCCTTTACCTTTCTCCCTTATTCCTTTCCCCTTCTCCCTCATCCTCTATCCCCTGTCTTTGTCTCTTATTCCCTGTCCTCTGTGCCTCTGGGACAAATAAATCTCCTTTGTGCGGAGAACTTAGTCTTGGGATGTCTTGTGCCAACTCTGAGGTCCTTTCAGAGCTTCCCTTGTTTTTTACCTGAGCCTGGGAAGGCTGGTGCCCAAGTACCTTGTCTGTTGACCCTTTCAACATCTCCTTCTGATCCTTAAGAAGAGGAGCAAAGCTTTTAAGAATGAGCTGAGATTCTGTGTTAGGTTGATTTATGTGACTCATGCAGGAGCTATGCTTATGGAAAGTTTGGGTGGGTCTCACTTTGCCTTCCTATGCATGGTGGCACATGTCTGATAAAGCACATGGCAGGCAGGAGGATCTTGAGGCTGGTCTGGACTACACGGGCAGACCCCATCTTAAAATAACAGGGCTAGAGGTGGTAGAGTACTTGCTTAGCATAGGCAAGGCCCTTGGTTCTGTATCAGGACAAAAAAACAAACAAATAAATACCCCAATGACAGAAATAAAGCTAAAAATACCGTACTAGAGAGTTATTTCTTTCTGTTTTATGAGACAGGGTTTCTCTGTATAACAGCCCTGGCTGTCCTGGAAATCACTCTGTAAACCAGGCTGGCTTTGAACTCACAGAGATCCGCCTGCCTCTGCCTCCTGAGTGCTGGGATTAAAGGTGTGCACCACCACCGCCCGGCTTGGAGCTCACTATCTAAGGGAGCTTACAGGAAACCCTCTCATGAGTAAGTGGTTTTCCAGCATTTGTTCAGCTTTATGTCTGTTGCTCGTTGCTGTGTAGGAGCCAGAATCAAGGTCTTTCCTCTAAACCAGTGGTTCTCAACCTCCCTGACCCTTTAATACAGTTCGTGTTGTAGCGACTCCCCCAACCACAAAATTGTTTTTGTTGCTATTTCATAACTGTAATGTTGCTACTGTTATGAATCATAATGTAAATCATCTGTGTTTTCCAGTGCTCTTAGGTGACCCCTGTGCAAGTCATTTGGCCCCCAAAGGAGTCATGACCCACAGGTTGAGAACCACTACTTTCAACCAAGGCTTCCTTGTGGATTTGCACTTCTTTAAAGGTTTCTAAAGCACATGGCTTAGTGCATGCACAAGCTATCAATGTCAAACACAGGCTTCTCCCGGTGGGAGAAGGCAGAGGGATCCTGATTGTGAGTGCTAGGTCTCATCTTACTTCTGGGTTTGGGGTGACCCTGAATTCTGTGCTCTCATTATGAATTTCCAAATGATGCCAGACATTGGAGGCCAGGCTATACCAGCGCTCTGACTCCTATGCAGATCTTAAGTTAGATGAGAGCAAGGGCTCCCTCTGGCTGGCTTTGGGACCCTGAGAGGTCCTCATGTCAACTCTTTTGAATTTGAGCCATTTGTAGCAGGGTTTGCTTATGGACGCAGTGCCTAGGCCTCTTTCAGTGCCCTTCTGATGGTTTTCACCTTGACCACCCCTTTGAGAGAAGCAGCAGCAGGGTGGAGAGATTCTGAGCTCTGCCTTCACCTCTGAGCCCTTGAGAAACTTGAGCTCTCAGGATCTGCTCTGGCACAGCATTCTGGAGAAAGGCTATCTGTTAGAGGCTCGTGTAAAGAATACACAATTTTCCCTAATCCTGGCTTTTAAAACCAGCCATTGTGAACCCTTGCCAACTGCAACAATGACCAGCCTGGAAAGATGTCTGTTGGTATCATAGTGGCACGGATGTTCTGGGGGTAACCAACAGCCTCTGACTGAATTTAAGGCCTGCTCCACAGTCATGGCTCGTTTGGCCCAAGAACCTGTGGTTGTCACTGGCTCTAGAGGTCATTTTGTTAAATGGACATAGTATCAACTTATTCTCTAAATACTTAAGCAGCTCTAAACTCTCACCAGAGAAGTTTCTCTACAGGAGATGGCAGTTCTATAAAAAACGATCAAAGTGTTGAGTGATAATACCTCATCCCTCTCCCCGAGGCTCAGGGATCAGTATGAAGGAGGGGAGGTGCAGAAACAGCTTAAGTGCCAAGGATTGCTGCTAAAAAGTTATCTTTGGACATGATAGGGCCACTGCACACCAATTCACAGCAATGACAGCTGTATGCACATGACCTGCACTAGACCAAGCCAGCCAAAAGCCCAGGCCCCTAGCTGAGGCTCTAGCTGATGGCTTCTGTGGGAAGGACAGTCTGTTTCCTTCAGGGATGTGGCCCTTGCTAGGTTACTCTTGCTCCAACAGATGGCCTGACATCCAGCACATACTTGTAGCACTAACTAGACTCAGTGAGTTAAAAAAACATGAAGTTGAGAGGGATATATGGAAGAGGTCTGGCAGGAGTCAAGAGGGCCTGAGGGTAGATATGACCAAAATAAACATGTATGAAATTCTCAGTAAGTAAAAACTGTTTTTAAAGAGCTGCCAAGAAAGGTAGGAAGAAACAAGTTTGGAGGCTGTGGCAATACCGCCCCCCCCCCCCCCCCCCGTTTGATGGAGCAGCCTGTGACACATTCTCGGCCATGTGCTTTAAATACTTCTAAGCAAATAAGGTTAACACAGGGAGCCTTGATGAAAGTGGCTTGCTGTGTGTTGTAGGAGTGTCAAGTCCCTAGCTCCGTCTCTGGGTACAACGCAGCCTGGATGAGAACGACTCCGGCCGGCCGTTACCCTGGGCTTTCCAGGCCACTCGGTTTTGTCTTACTCCTGGGGACAGGGTGACTCGGTCATCAGGGGCTCCATGCTTCTGTGGCTTGACTTTTAGGCTCTCCTGCTCTCCTCCCCTCCACTGGTTGCTGCCTGACTTTTCCCAGCCGGTGGAGTCTAGCTTCTTCATAGACCAGCATAAGGCAACCAGCAAGAGATGGAGTAATGAGGCACTTCTGAGACCCCATGAGAACATCTGCTGCTCACCGCTTCACTGATTGGCTTTTCATCTAGGAAAATTCTTTTAAGAAATTATTTTCCTCAATTCTACCTTGTTTTATTCTTTCAGTGCCCCAGGAATCCTTTAAAAGCTGATGTTTCACAAACTTTAAAAAAAAATTTCTATGGGCTGGAGAGATGGCTCAGAGGTCCTGAGTTCAATTCCTAACAACCACATGGTAGCTCACAGCCATCTGTAATGAGATCTGGTGCCCTCTTCTGCCCAGCAAGCATACGGACAGACAGAACACTGTATACATAATAAATAAATCTTTAAAATTTCTAGTTGTTAATGAAGCAAATGGTTTTGCAGACATAGCATGTGGTTCCTTCAAGATCCTTCTCTCCTCTGAAGGTGATTATGCCAGGGCCTGGGAGGCTAAGACAAAAGTACCATGAGTTCAGGAGTTTATGGCTAGCTCGAGAACGGACAGTGAAGCCAGGGTTAATCAGTCAAACTCATTCCAAGCAAGCAAACTAAAGGGAGGCCAGTGCTCCTGCATAGCTGCTACTGAAAACTAGGCCGCTTTAACCCTACGCTAACACGTGGCCAGCCTTCGCTGCGGTTCCAGAGCTGTCCTGGCCCAACAACCCCCTCGAGTGCTATCAGAGTCCACCTCAGAGATGCTTACTTGGCCGGTCAGGCTTCACTGCGGTTCCAGAGCTGTCCTGGGCCATCAGTGTCTACTTCAGAGACAGTCAACAACTGGATGAACAGATGCAGATGGCACGACTCTGAGCAAGCAAGTCATCAGGAATGTGGCCTTAGCCTTAACGACTAAGTTTTCTCTGGGGTGGCATCCTCGGCACTGCCATTCAGGTAAGGGTAAGTTTGGAAGCCACTTCCCTGGACAGAGCACGGAGGAGAAAAGCACCAGACACCAGGTCTCTCCAAGTGTTGACCATTTATAAATAAGTACATTTGCTTTCATACATACAGCTCATTGTACAGTTGACGCTCTGTATACATGGGGCAGGAAAATGCATTCATTTAAACTTTTCACATCTATCTCACACAGCTCACATGTACAGACAATAAAACTGTTCAAGCAAGTACAGCAAAGGAAATGTCTTCCTTATACACGGGGCTGGAGGCCTCCGCTGGGTGTGGGGTGTCCCCACTGCACGAGTTCACGACTGTGTGGTGTTCGATATATTAGGCTAGAGAACAAACATGCATTGGATAATATACTGTACAGAGGAAGTCCTTTACATCTGAGTTATAGAAAACCTAGAGGAAAACTAAGTGCATTAAAGCTTTTTCCAGCAAGTGTCTTGAAAGGACAGCAAAGAGGAATAATCAAAATCATATTAGTACAAATCACTCTTTAATTGTAGACTGTACATGTCTGTACTAATTAAAATCATCTTGGATTTGGAGGAGACAGAACAGAGACACAGACGCTGTGCTAGATGGAAGGGAGCCCATGCCTGAGAACGGCACCTGCCCTGAGCCCCACAGGAACTGGCCCAACGCAGCAGGAATCAGCCAAATGTTAAAAACAAAAACAAACAAACAAAAAAAAAACAACCCAACAAATCAGAACAGTATAACTTACAGGATTCCCAAAATAACCTGTGAGTGGCTATCTAGAGCCGGCATCACTACCCCCTCCCCCCCAGTGAATGGGTACACAGTAAGGCAGGTACATTCAAGTACTGAATTTTTCAGAATTAACTCTCTCTGGTCCTGGGGATTGAAGGGAGTGATTTGAGTCCTAGCCAGATTTCCTGGTTAGTGATTAGCAAAGGGAAACCCAGCCATCAAGTGCTACAGAACAGAGCAGCTAGGCCAAGTCCTTCCCGCAGAGTAGGTCTATCTGAAACCTGGAGATGGTGCTGCCTGGCATCTGTGTGCAGCCACTGCAGCCTGACTGGTCAGCTTAGTGTAGGGATCACAGTCAGGAGGAGAAACGAGATGGCAGGGTGAGGAAACATGAGAGTAACACTTGATTTTTGGTGTCCAATTATACGTTCATTTGGTACCGACTTTCAAAGCTCTGACTGTGGCCATCATGTGGCCACAAGCATCTCAGGGTGGCTCAGCTGCTGTGAGGCATTGGACACCGAAATGAAGGTTACCAACACTTCAGCCCTTGAGTGGTCTGTATTACAAAAGGAGTTGATGAAGACCCAGTGAATATTCAAGTAGCTCTGCACAGTGGCTCCACCAGCCCCGTTGTGCTTGTGTCCAGGTCCCTAGCCAGCCACCTTTTCTTGGGAGCAGCCAGAGCTGAGTTCAAGGCATTGCATGGTGAAGGTTTCCATGACACGTCTTTGTAGGTAGCTCTTACCCCTAAGCCCTTTGTTCATTGTTAGTCATGGTAGATGGTCAGTCTGGAATTCCCAGAGGAAAAGGAGAAGTCACACCTCTCAACAAGTACACGGCGACAGGGCAGTATGGCCCCCAGAGCAAAGGCGGCAGCAGACCGCTTCTTGAGAACTGGGCAGCCAGAGGATAGCCAGGCAGGGTGGGTGGGGCTGCTGAGCCCTGGGAGGCTCAACAGGGATGGGCACAGAGGCAGCATGCCCTGCCACCTGGGGAGCCTGTTCCATTGAGTGGCAAAGATTCAGTGAGCAACTGTTTTTGTCCAAGGCATTTCTGCAGTAGAAAAATAACTATCTTTAATCAAACCACCCAACCATGATACTTGTGGAGTTAGAAAAGCTGGAGGCTGAGTGGAACTGAGAGAAAGGATGCTCAGGGGAGAAAAGGCTCCTCTACATGCCCATCCA